AACGATCGTTTTCTGCTTTCCAAAGCACTATTGCATGTGCTCCTCTGGGCCTCAGAACACCATGAGGTAGAGAAAATAAATCATTCCCTTTGCACAAATAATTTAAACTGCCCCATGTCTCTGTTTCCAAGATTCCCAAGATTGCTTGTCAAGTTCCCCAGATTGCTGATGACAAAGCCAAAGCTAGAGCTGTCCTCTCTTGGTCTCTACTGTGGTGATGCTTGGAAGTAAAGCCCAACACAACCCCATGAGGACAGAAGGAGTCTTAGTACCTACTGCTCTTCTTTCAGGAGCTCAGGAAAACTGGTCCTCTTATCCTTTGCTTTCTTGTGTCTCAGTTTTACCATCAGTTAAAAGAGCAAACTTGATCCTCCTCCTTCTCCCTCCTCTGCTCTGAGACTCACCAGGAGAATGAGTGCTGAAGCTGAGGAGTACAGAACTCCATACATACTCTGCCCAGTACTCCTTTTCCTTAAGAAGGGCCAGGAGCAGTGGCTCATGCCAGTAATCCCAACACTTTGGGAGGCCAATGCGGGTGGATCACCTGAGGTCAGGAGTTCAAGAGCAGCCTGGCCAATATGGCAGAACTCCTCTCTACTAAAAATATGAAAAATTAACCAGGCATGCTGGTGCATGCCTGTAAGCTACTCAGGAGGCTGAGGCACGAGGATCGCTTGAACCTGGGAGGCAGAGGTTGCAGTGAGCCGAGATCATACCACTGTACTCCAGCCTGGGTGACAGAGTGAGACTCCATCTCAAAAAAAAAAAAAAGGGGGGCCAAACAAAACACCTACTGGGTTCACCTTTCTTTATATTGTTATCCATGACTGTTAGAAATGCTGGTCTTCAAGGAAGGGAAGAAGGGGGATCCCAGGACAGGGGAATCTTAGACTGACTCCATGCCCCTGGTTTATGGCACCCTCATCCCCAAATGTCAAGGGGAAGCACTGCCAGGTTTTTCTGCCTCTTGGAATAGTTCTGGAGCCACTCCCTGTGCACTCACACACACACACACAGCTTGAAGAGAGACTAGGAGTTTTCAGTTGGCCACATATCAGTCATCATGCCCAGACCCCAACCCAGACCAATGAAACCAGGACCTTTGGGGCGAGATACCCTGGCACAGGATGCTTCTAATACACAGCTGAGGCCCAAGGCTGACAATTAACTATGTACAGAGGATTTTTCTGTAGCTGTGAATGACCACCATCCTTGGGGGAAATGTCCAGTGTAAGAAAATGAAATCATCCCTGCCCCATGGCTTTCTGCTTCTCTGTGTCCCCATGGAACTGGCATGCTGGGTTGTGGGCAGCCTCCTGAGGAGCTTAACAGTGTCCACTCCAGATAGCAGGGACCCCTGATGTGTCATCTGGGGCTCTTTTGCCTGTATGGGAGGTGGCAGGAGTCCATCTTATAGTGGGGAGTGGAGGTGAGGGAGTCTTTGGGTGTCAGGTGCTGCTTGAAAGGGTTTCTTCAGCTATATACCCCCTACCCTATCATGTACTGCTAAGAAGTGCTACTTAAGGCCTGTAATGGCACAAGCAGGGCTTTCCACTGTCTTTGGTGGGGGGATTGCCCCACAGTCCAAGAGGCCTGTCTGCTTCTAAGCCGCCTTGAGCCTGTGACAGCAGCACAGGGCCTCCTCCCTGGATTACCCGTAACAGAGAGGAGGCAGGCACTAGGTTGGGAAGGAAGCATGTCGGAGTGATGATGAGCAGAGGGGCTCATGCAGGCAGATCCATGTTCTGGAGCAGGTGAGGGGCCTAAATCCCTCCCAGAAGGGGAAATGCATCCAGAGGCAGCTCAGAGTCCAGGCCCCAGTTCTGCTCCCCACACCCACCCCTCAGAGCCTCAGGAGCCCAGTCTAGGCAATATCAGCCCCGACTGCCAGTCCTGGAGGTGGACCCTGAGAGGGCTCTTCCTCCCCAGCCAAGCCTCAGGAATGTGGCTGAGCCTACGCTGGAAAGTCCCACCTCCCCCTCCCACTCCCAATGAGCTTCCTCTCCTCAGGAGCAAGAAAAGGACGCCCAGAGAGGGGGCTCCAAGCGGGAGATTCCTGCTCAGCACTGTCTCCAAAGGGTACCCCTTGTGGGGAAGGGAAGGCCAGTGAAAGTTCTGGGGCCCAGTGATAGCTGCTCAGTCAGCTCCTCCTTATCCCAGTTCCTGGTGGTTTCCCCATAGCATCCTGGGGGCCAGCAAGCGCCTTTCCACCAATAGCCCAGCTGAGTGATGTTGTCCTGCTTGTCCCCATGAGGGAGGGTTTCCTCTGGCAGTGGGAGTGTGGAGTACAGTCTGAGGGAGGCACCACCCAGTGTCTTCGTGTCTGCCCAGCAGGCAGCTGTGCTCAGCTTCACTGGGTCTGCCGGGGGAGGACTAGCAGAAGCCCCACAACGGGGCCTGTCTCCCATCTCAGAGGTGGGAGGTATGCTGGCTGCCTGCTCAAAGGCCTCCATTTGGTTTGTCACTGCAAAGTTTGGTCTGCAGAAGAAAGAGAAATCAGAGGCTGTGAGCCGCTTCTAGTCCATGAGCCCAAGGGCAGGGACCCTGTCCCTTCCTACCCCTGTTGGAGAGAGAGCCTTTTGGAGATCCAGGATGTCTAGTGTGAGGGAGAAAAGGCCTGATGGAGGAGAAAGCCAGGGGAGGTGAGCAGGGGCTGACTCTGCCCCCTCTGCCGGCAATGCATTCCAGGGGGAGCATCCCAAGTGCCCAGGGCGGCCTGTGCACTCATCCTGCCAAGGTGACAGTGCTCTCTCCACTGGATTCATCAGGCCCAGGGTAGTGCACGGTCCTTCTTTGGTGCTCTCATGGAGTGTGAAGGAGGTTGCCCAGACTGCAGGCGCTGTTCTGCCCAGCAGGCATGAATGGTTCTCAGAGTTGGGGGAGGGGTTTGGTTGAGGTAGGATTTTGACCAAGAGGCTCCCTCTGTTCATTTCCTCAGCCACTGCTGACTAATGCTTGTTGTTACCTGTTTTGTTACAGATGCTCCGGCCAGTGAGAACACCAAGGCCCGGGAGATGAAATCCCGGAGGCCCAAGAGCTCTCTTCCTCCCGTGCTCGGAACAGAGAGTGAGTACTTGCACAGCTTCACCAGGCAGAGGCAGGGGCAGTTACTCTGGGGACTGAGGGCAGCCTCAGAGCCCCACTTCCTGGTCACTCACTCTTGCCTGAGCTCCTGGAAGTCTGGTGTCTGCCCACAGCCGAAACGCCCAGTGAAGCAGAACCAGCGGCCTTTGTCACCCCCTCCCAGTCCTCTCCCCAGCCTGCCTCCAGCCTGGGTGGTGCTGCACATTCTCTCTACCTCCCAGCCCAACCTTGCTCATGCCCTTTCACTTCCCACCAAGACTCAAGGAGAGCTCCTCCAAACTTCTCCCCAGTCGACCCTGCCCTCCCAGGGGCTCTTTTCTGCACTGTAGGTCTGATCTCATCACTCCTGGTTGACATATACAGTGGCCTCCAGAGCCTGCAAAACCCACAAGCGAAGCTCCACATGCTAGTGCCCAGGACCCACCTAGCTCACATGCGCACACGTCCCACGTGTGGCCTGGCTTTCCCAGTGCTGCCCCCAGCTCTGCCCCCAGCTCCTTTACTTCTATTTTATTCTCAGGCCAAACTGAGCTCTTCACCGTGCACTACACAGCCCCCAAGTTTCTTCCTTCATGCCTTCTCTGGCACCTGTCTCCATGGGATGGACATCTTTCTGGCACACTCCTCTGAAAAGTCCCTTATCCCTGAGTGCTTCCTCACTTCAGCTCCCACAGTGTCAGCACCTGGCGCCTCCACTATCTCCTTTCCAATGTCATGGAGATGCATCTGGGTTTCATCCTCCCTCCTCCATTGTAAAGGATCCATTCAAGTAATTACCTTTTTGAATGACACACGCTGTACCTTGCTCATGGAAGGCCCTTCCCAGTTTTTCTTAAAATCAAATCACAGTGTGGTATAAAAAGCCAAGAGAGGCTGGGCGCAGTTGCTCATGCCTGTAATCCAAGCACTTTGGAGGCCAAGGCGGGCAGATCACCTGAGGTCGGGAGTTCAAGACCAGCCTGACCAACATGGTGAAACCCCATCTTGAAAAAAAAAAAAAAGCCAAGAGAGAAAGGAGTCTCTCCATGACCACAGACAGTTACCACCCTCTTTTTGAATCTCAGCTTCCCCAGAACCCAACACATCCATTAGGCACCATGCCTGGGGTCCACAGTACTTTTACAGGCCTGCCAACTGCTGTAATAGCTTATAAAGTTAGAAGAAAAAATGTGAACTTCTAAGTCTAAGACAATGTGTTTTGTTTTTTTTGAGACAGAGTCTCGCTCTGTTGCCCAGGCTGGAGTGCAGTGGTATGATCTCAGCTCACTGCAACCTTCGCCTCCCGGGTTCAAGTGATTCTTCTGCCTCAGCCTCCTGAGTAGCTGGAACTACAGGCATGTGCCACCACTGCTGACTAATTTTTGTATTTTTAGTAGAGACAGGGTTTCACCGTATTGACCAGGCTGCTCTCGAACTCCTGATGTTGTGATACGTCCACCTTGGCCTCCCAAAATGCTGGGGTTACAGGTGTGAGCCACCATGCCTGACTGAAGACAGTGTTTTAATTCATAATATGAATATATTCATCTTTATACCAATGTGGTCATAAAGTATAATTTACATAATTCAAATATAATACTTATATGTAATTAAATAGATGTACTTTTTTTTGGTGGAGGAAGGGGGCTACAAAGGCAGAAGTGCCTCCAAAGCCCTCATGGTACTTCCCCTATGATTTTGAATCTAATGTTGACAGCAGAACTACCCTTTGAAACCGAGAATTTCAACAGAGGGTGCAGAGTTGCTTGGACATTCCAGCACATTCTGTCTTAAAACAAATTAAAAAAAAAACCAAAAAACAAGGATAAGCACCTAATTGCCCATACTGATAGAGGAAAGTAATTAAGCCTGATTAAGTCAGACTATAATTTTTTTCCAATACAACAAAGTGTTTTGTGATGACATTTTATTCTTACCTTTCTAACGATGAACCTGGGTCCTTGAACATACACCAGCCAGGCTGTTGAGGGAACTCAGCCTTCAGTATGTTGAGGCAGCCCAATTGGAATTAATTTCTCATTGATATTTAACCAAAGTATATAGCCTGAGAATATCAAGAATGGACATTTAATAAGTTGTTGGAAATGCGTACATAATACCAGGAAAAACCTAGTGAGAATGGGTTAATAATTTTATTTACCAAAAATACTCCTTGGGCCCATGCTATACTTGGTATGGCAAACTGTGAGCAGAAGAGCCAGAGAATGTAGGAAGAGCACCAGGGACTGTGAATTCGGGCTGTGGCATGGCTGTCCCCCGCTCCTGGACTCAGAAGCCGCAGTGCAGCTGTTGATTGGTGGGTGGCCTCCTGCATACCCACTCCAGCTCTAGCACACCCACTCCAGTGAGCCCTTGAGGAGGTGAGAAGGGGTCAGAGCAGAACTGTGGAGGAAGAAAACAAGCTCCAGATGATAAGCAGAGCAGGAGCTGGGCTCTCTGCCCTGAGAACAGGGCTGTGGAAACCCCATGCAAGTTGTTACTATCCGAGTCTGGAGCAGCAGCTCGCACCCCTGGCTGCATGTTATATTCACCTGGGGAGCTTTTAAAACACTGCTGTGCAGGCTTCCCCCACCCCCAGACCAATTACATCAGAATCTCAGGGGTGGGTGCCAGGCCTCAGTATTCAAGCTCCAGGTCATTCCATGTACAAGCTCCAGGTCATTCCATTCTCCAGGTCATTCCATGTACAGTCAAGCTGGAAACCACCTGTTCCAGGGAGAAGCCTGGTGCCCACACTGTGGGTCTTGAGCAGCAGAAGTGAGTGATCTGGCTGTGTGTGTATGTACATCTGTGTCCAAGGGCTGAGAAGTACCTAGTCTAAGAAGGAACTCCATCTTTCCCTAGGGAAGGCTGAGTGATTTTCTCATCAAACAGATCATGACCAGGTCCCTCTTCTGCACACCCTCCCTCCCTGCTGTGCACTGAGGACCATGAGGGAAAGTCACGGGTATCCACCCCAACCCAATGAAGGACAGGGTGAGAGGAAGCGGACAGAAGTACAAGTTAGGCTGCCAGACACCAACTCACAAGTGTAGGAGGGAGGTGGGAATAGCTTGGGGAGATTTCGGGATGAGGAAAACAGGGCCAAGTTATGGAGGAGAGGAATGTCGTTTATGTAGCATCAGATGGGGAGGAGACAGACAAGAAGGAGCCACCCAGATGCTGGAGTGAAGACTGTGAGGGCATCTGTCTCAGGACAGCTGCAGGCTGAACAAAATCAGAGTCTACTGAGTGCCTGCGCAGTGGCAGCACCTTAGGAGCTGGGTCTACGTCACTTGAGCTGAGTCTCACTCAACTGTGCTATAAGTAGCTGTTCCCATTTGAGGGATGAGCAAACAGAGCCTCCGAGAACTAAACGGCCCTGTCCAGGGTCTCACAGCTAGTAAGTTGTGGAACTGTGGTGCCGGCCCTGACCTACATTCTGGCCACTACACACTGACCTGGTTGCAGTCTCAGGACGCACCCTGTGCTGTCCACACATGGCCGGGCAGTGCGTCCCCTGGCTCGTTGGAGGCAGCAGGAGGTGGGGACTGGCTGATAGGGCTTGCAGAGGTCTGGAGGAAGGAGAGCCGCAGCCAGCTTGCCTCCCTGGACTTTAAGACCTCTCAGTGTTTTTATTCACTGTGTGCCTCTTGATGGGAATTTTTTATACCTATTTTGATATAATTTCAAATTTACAGAAAAGTTCCAACAGTAACACAAGGAACTCTTGTATGCTCTTTATTTAGGGTCACCAATTGTTTACATTTTGTTACACTGTTTCATTCTCTCCATATATATTCATTCATTTATTCATTTAGATAGATAGGTACCAACATTTTAAGCCAAAGTTGAGACATTGTGCCATTGACTTTGTTTTGTTTTGTTTTTTTTGAGATGGAGTCTTGCTCTGTCACCCAGGCTGGAGTACAGTGGCGCAGTCTTGGCTCACTGCAACCTCCACCTCCCGGGTTCAAGTGATTCTCCTGCCTCAGCCTCCTAAGTAGCTGGAATTACAGGCGCATGCCACCACGCCCGGGTAATTTTTGTATTTTCAGTAGAGATGTTGGTCAGGCTGGTCTCGAACTCCTGACCTCTGCCTGCCTCGGCTTCCCAAAGTGCTGGGATTACAGGCCTGAGCCACCACGCCCGGCCACCCTTGACTTCTAACTATCCTGTTGTGTGTGCCTTAAGAACATGACTCCAATGCAATTATTGAAATCAGTAAATTTGACATTGAACCGATACTGTTACCTGATCAATTCACAGTCTACATCTATTGTCAATTGTTTCAATAATGTTCTTTATGACTTCTCCTCTTGACGAATATTTAATAATAATACTCCTGAAACACTTGTATACTCCTCCAGCCCAGAGTGGGTCCTCTCCTCCCTCTGGAGACAGAACAGGAAAGAAGTTCACAGGCCCAGGGGAGAAATACCCCACACTCCTCCACCTAAGCTGAGTAGGGCATGGGGAGACAGAAAGACTCCAGGTGCCAACTTACTACGACCAATTCTGGGGCAACACTCAGGCAAAGACACAGCAGGAAAGCCACTGAGCTAGAAATCAGGAGACAAAGGTCTTGGTTCTCCCAGTAATTAAATATGTGGCTTTGGTCAAAGCCCCTCATTGCTCTGGCTGTGGCTTCCTTGCCTGTCAGATGGGCAGTTTCTCCAGCTGTCCCCAGGCCTTTCCCAACTCTGACATCAGCATCCGCCCATTGGATGGAAAGCTTTTGAGTGACACAGTTCAGGTGAGGTTAATACCTCTCCTTTGTATCATCTGAAGTGTGAAGGAGTCCAAAGCCACAGCAAGCATAGTTTTGGTCACACATCAGCAAAAGTGTCCTGAGGGAAAGAGGCCTTAAGCATATAAATTTAGCGAAGTCCCAGCTGGAGGGGCCCAAATGGCCAGCAGAATTCTTGGGAATGTTGTGTGAGGGGAGACAAGCATGTTGCCTGTGTGAAGGAGCCTTGATGGAGCTTAGGAAGTGGCCTTGGGAATGTTGTGTGAGGGGAGACAAGCATGTTGCCTGTGTGAAGGAGCCTTGGTGGAGCTTAGGAAGTGGCCTTGGGAAACACACGAGGTGATGCCAGCTTGATAACAGACTCTGGAGTTCCTCCTAGCAGAGTCTGTATAAGCTGATGGTCTTTCAGAAGAGACATAAATGGGCATCCAAGCAGGTCTTTTATACCTTGAAGACAAACCAGGTCCTGTCCATCTCCAAACGTCAGTAACCGGTCCCTCAGTAAGTTTATAATAAATATTTGATTTTTCAAACCAGTTCATAAATTCCCATGCTCCAAGGGGCCCTGCCCCACTGTGGTTCTGTAATTAGGGATGATGCAGATGGAACATTCCTTTGTAGTCCATGCCTGGCTTTGGCCTGAGCTTCACCTCTGATATTAGTCACCTTAGAACATTCAGATTACCAGATTACAAGACTCTCAGATGTCTTTGCCTAGACCTCCCGTACGTATCTGCCTCTAAAATGGAAAGTTGTGTCAGTTTGAAAGCATCTCTGGGTGTTAAAAACTGTGTCTAGTTTCCATGCAGGGTTTCCCCAAGGTCAAATCTTTCTTTTAAACATTCCTCCGCAGGTCATGGGGAATGTTCAATCCTGATGGGATTCAAAAGGCCGGAAGAGAGATTGGGATCTGGCATCAAGACTTGCCTGACAGTGAAAGATGTGGGGCCCTGGGGGAGAGGCTGGGCTATTTCTATGAATGTATCTGAAAGCTGGCACCAACTCCCAGTTACTCCCAACCAAAGCTGGGTCTGGGAGGAGGAATAGTGCCTACCTGGCACACTCCCACCCACAGGTGTGTCTGACCCTGTGACTTCCACCCACTTGGCTACTCCTCCCAGCTCCTTCCCCAGCTCTCCCAGTGCCTCCCTTGAGCCAGTTAAATGGCCAGAGGGATGACCTGAAGGACACCCACAAAGACATGCTGGCACCACTGGCCCAGTGTGCCTCTATCACAACCGTCCTGCCATTCTGTGTCCTGCGGGTTTGGGAGTGGGAGTGGATGTTTGCACTAATCAGAGGAGTAGTGTTTCTCTGGAATCTTCTTGTGTGAAAGCCCTTGCTTTGAAGAAGGTGAGCAAGAAATTTGCCCAGAGATGTTAATTCTGGAAAAATGACCAATATTCCTCCACATATCTGTAAGGATGAAATGGAAGGGGCCAGCGTGTGCAGTGGGGGAGTGGGTCAAGTCACCCAGAGCCAACGTGGTAGGATTCAGCCCTGCATGCCCAGGTCCCCCCCGCCCTTTCCCCCCGCCAATCTTCCTGCTCTGATACAGCCTCATGGGGTGAGTGCTTACTCTGTGCTTAACCCAGCCTTAGTCCTTTTCAGGAGTCTTTGGCAGAAAGTTCATGCTGATTTTGGGAATTGTGAAGGATTTGATGTCTATTTTTAACTACCTACCTAAAAAGGGAAATGTCCCCAGAGAGGCAGACATCCAGGGACCTCCCTGTACCCATGGCTGGTAAGGCTAGCTTCCCGCTTCTCCTTTGCTTTCCATTATCTCAGGCATTTTGACTCTGTGAGACCCGCCTTCAGGCTCTGCCTCTATCTTGCAAATGTTTGCTCTGCTCTCTGCCCTGCTAATTTTTCATGTTTGAGAGAGAGGCATTCAGGTGAGCATCTGGAAACTTCTGTGAGTTACTGACCTCCTTTTTTTCCCAGGATTAGGTTAGGGCTTGGGTTGGCTGGAACAGATTACCTGGACAATTAGGAGGCTGGCCTCCCCACCCTTGTTCCAGGTTTCCCAGGAGGCTTCCAGAGCCAATGCTGTTTTTATTGGCTATTTCACTTCCTCTAATATTAATCTCCTATCTAAAGTGGAAGACTCAGCACCTGGCAGTTTTGATCAGGAAGTGACAGCAGAGATTGATCCTTTTCATAGAAAGTTATGTAAAAATTCAAGCCCCAGGACTATATTCTCAGCATCAGTGCCCAGGGCTGAGGCAGAATGTTCCTTGGGAATTCCCAGGTTAACAGAAATCCTTAGGGGTTTCACTCATTCCTTTAATGGCTATTTATTAGGCGTGCGCCAGGTACTGTTCTAGGCACTGTGGATACAGAAGGTAGATCCTACTCCTGTCCCCAGAAGCTTGCCATGGTGTGTGCATACTGGGGACAGGTTTCTAAAATAGCAGTGCCTGATGAATGCTGTGATAGAACTACCTCAGGGGGGTAGGAACCCAGCAGGACATTAGTGGTGTGTGAGCTGGGACCTGCCCAAAGAATGTGCAAGAGCCCATCTAAGAGAATATGGGCCAGAATTGCAAAGGAGTGAAGGCAAGAGCCTAGTGTTGCAGAAATGAAAGACATTCCATATAGATTGCAAAGCAGCACTTCCCAAAGGAAGGTGCAGGGACCAGCAGCAGTAGCAGCACCAGTACCTAGAAGCCAAGAATCTGTGTTTTTATTACATTTTCCAGGCAATCATAATGTAGGCTGAATTTTGAGAACCACTGATGTTGGGTATTGAGGGTGTGATAAAAGTTGTTTCCTCTTGGGAAAGCAAGCAAGAAAGTTGGAGATGAAAGCCAGGGACAGAGCCCAAAGACCTCCTAAGATGAGTTGAATTTGATCCTGAGTGGCAGTGGGTAGCCACTGAAGAGGTTTAGACAGTGAAGTGACATTATATTTGCATTTGAGAAAGTTCACTTTGGTCACAGAGTGACATATGTGATAGGGGCCAGGGGATCAGAGGCAATGCATTTGGGACTACAGTGGTGATGGTGGGAGGGTAGAAATTGGCAGACTGGGGAGGTACTTAGTTGATGGAGTCAACAGGCATTAGTCAGTGGATATGAGCAGGGAAGGGGCCTTGGGAGAAACGGGGACAAGGAGCAGGTTTGGGGAAAGGTCTTGGATTTGCTTTTGGACATGTTGGACAGCAGTATGTGTTTGGCATCTCCCTGGGAGATGATGGTCACGTACTTGGATGTATTGGTATGGGCTCAGGAGAGAGTTCTGGCTTCAGGGGAAATGCAGGTAGGAGAATAGGGGATGGAAAAAGGAGCTCAAAGGACAGTGGTGAACACAGTACCCTGGGGCAGTGCTGTGCCAGGAAAGATGTGCTGCCTAGGGCTGACTGCCTGAGGGAGGTGGCTGAGCCCCTCCTCAGAGGGGCAGCCTGAGCAGCCCCTCCTCAGAGGGCATGCTCTGCCCTCCCCACCCTGTCCTGTGGCCAGCAGCCATCATGGGGTTTGCAAGGGTGGTTGGGTTTTATTTTCCTTCTAGGATGTTCCTCTCTGACAATGGCTGGTACAGAGGAGTGTCAGAGAAGGGGGTGAGAGACAAAGGGCTGACAGGAATAATAATAAGAGTGACTCCAGAGGAGAAGAAACTAGTTAGTGAGCCAAGGAGTACTGACTGTCCCCTATGCCGAGGACCTGGACTGGGGAGAAGAAACGTAGGTGCCACATGAGAGCTCTCAGATTAGTGTAAGGCTGAACTGACTAACAGGGTGGTGTGCCACATAGCTAAAGGGGCCAGACTTGCCCCAAAAGACAGAGAAGTCCTCTGGGGATCTGCTTGTTTTGGGGAGTAGGGGGTGGACTGATGTTAGACCAAGCACAGTGGCTCACGCCTGTAATCCCAGAACTTTGGGAAGCCAAGGTGGGAGCACACTTGAGCTCAGGAGTTTGAGACCAGCCTGAACAACATAGTGAGTCTCTACAAAAAAAAAAAAAAAAAAAAAAATTAGCTGGCTGTGGTAGCTCACACCTGTAGTTCCAGCTACTCAGGGTACTGAGATGGGAGGATCACTTTAGCCCAGCAGGTCAAGGCTACAGTGAGCTGTGATCATGCCGCCACACTCATCCTGGGCGACACAGCAAGACCTTGTGTCAAAAAAAAAAAAAAAAAAAAAAGAACATTTACTATAGGCTATACCTTCTTTACAATGTAGCTTAACTCTTCACAACAAATTTTATTTACTCCATACCCTGGGTGGCAGGAGGCTTAGTTCCCATTTCCAGCTCCAGAACGTCTGGTTTTATGAACCCAGCAAGTCACCTGACTTTTATGAGATGCCATCTCCTTTTTCATAAAACAAAAACATGATACTCCCTGCTGTGTTTGATTGGGATAAGAACCAAGTGAAAATCTCCCTCTGAGAAACCGGTTTTAGAATTAGGTGCTTTCCCCTATAAGCCCAGCACACATTTAGTGGATTTCAGCAGATGGTCATATAAAATGCATAGATAGAATATAAAACATTGTTAACATTTAAAATTGGTTTTACTGATAGGAACCAAGCCAGCTTCAAAGGCTAACCAATTCAAGCAACAGTAGCTCCAAATTTATTGAATAAACTGAAAAATTTGGCCTTCAATCCTATTTAACTGTGACACTGAAAGATTAGTTAGGGCTTCACTTCCAGCTACATGGATTTACCCAGAGCCACCAAGTACAGGGCAGGACTTTGGAGTCCTCTGATCTCATGCCGTACTCCTAGCTCAACAGCCCAGGGACTGTCAACCTCCTTCCCACACCCTCTGGTGCCCACCCCACCAGTGCTTGCCCAACTGGTGCTCACCCCACTGATGATGCCCATCCGCAGCCATGTTAGTCTTCTAGGGCTGACTTAAAGGGTGGCTTAACCACAGAAATTGATTCTTACACTCTTTTCTTCCCAATCTATGGCCACCCTGATGGACTTGTTTTAACTTAATTATCTCCTTTAAGTCCCTATCTCTAAATAGTCACATTCTGAGGTACCAAGGGTTAGGGCTTTAACATGTGAATTTGGGGGGAGACAACTCAGCTCATGACAGCAGTCCTCCATGTAGCTCCTCTGAACAGATGGCCTCCTCTCTCCAGAGATCAGATCCGTGCTCTGGTAGAAGCCCTCTCCTCTTCCCTGGAGGGCCTCTTTCTTCCCAACAGTCCTGGATGAAGAGGGGCAGGGCCTTAGTGGATTAGCCAGTCACAGGCATCCCATATCCCATCTGGTGTCTCCCACCAAAGGATTTGGCTCCCCATGCTCTTCCCTCTAGCATCTTTGGGCTCTCCCTCTCCACTGGGCCTTAGCCTCAGCCTTCTACCTTGTCGTCTTCTCTCTTTTCTCTCACCTCGTAAGAAACCTGAGCTTCATATTCCCTCTTCTGTTTCCCTGTTTCTCTTTGTCCTTTTACCTCCAGCATCCTTGACTATTTCAGTCTCCACCGTTTGCTCAAGAATCTCCTCTGGGGTGACTTTGGACCCTGCTGTCCCATGGAACCTGGCCTCTTCAGCGTCACCATTTCTCGCTCGATGCTGGGCACACCTGGAGCTCTCCCAGCATCTGTCCTCCTCTACCCTTGCTGCGGCAACCCTACTCCTGCTCTCAGGGTCCTTCCACAGCCCTCTCCCCTGTCTCAGCTTCTTTACTGTGGACACACCTGGGATCCAATCCTGGCCTCCTCTCCTCTTTAATTGCATTCTCTTTTCCCAAAGAACTGACCCATCTTCACAGTTTCCATTCTGATGGCATCTTGAATCCTGGAATCTTTCGCTTTAAGTCCGCACTCCCTCTTGAATTCTAACCTCCCTCTGGAATTCTGATCCTGGGCTTCTCACCTACAAACAGATTCAAGCTGAAATATTCATCTTGTACTCCTAATTCTATATTCCTTCAGTATGACTTTCCACATGTATCTGAGCAAGAAATCTCAAAGTAATCTGTGTACCTCCCTCTTGTTTAGCCCCCAAAATTCTTTGAACTTTCCTCTGCCCCTCATCTGTTTCTTCTTTTCTGCGTGGATCTTGATCAGTGCCTTCCAAGGTATGGCAATAGCCTCCTAAGTGGATCTGTCCCCTCCAAGAGATGGAAAGACCTATCAGGGACCCCTAGCCCAGCCTGACTGCTGTTTGTGTGAGGACTCGCTGTTCATTCAAAACAAAGGCTTAGCTCTTGAGCTTAGCATTTGAGGCCAGCACTGTCTAACAGAACTCTCTGTGATGACAGAAATGTCCTATGTCAACACAGTGTGATAGCTGCAAACCACATATGGCTATTGAGCACCTGAAATGTGACTAGTGCAACCAAGAAACCAAATTTTTAATTTTTTTTTCTTTCCTTCTGGACAAGGTCTCGCTCTGTCACCCACGCTAGAGTACAGTGACACAATCATAGCTACTGTAACCTCGAAATCTTGGACTCAAGCAATCCTCCCATCTCACCGTCCCAAATAACTGGGACTACAGGCATGCACCACCATGCCTGGCTAATTTTATTATTATTATTTTTTTTTTTTTGAGACAGAGTTTCGCTCTTGTTACCCAGGCTGGAGTGCAATGGCGTGATCTCGGCTCACCGCAACCTCCGCCTCCTGGGTTCAGGCAATTCTCCTGCCTCAGCCTCCCGAGTAGCTGGGATTACAGGCACGCGCTACCATGCCCAGCTAATTTTTAAAATATTTTTAGTAGAGACGGGGTTTCACCATGTTGACCAGTCTCAATCTCTTGACCTCATGATCCACCCGCCTCGGCCTCCCAAAGTGCTGGGATTACAGGCTTGAGCCTCTGCGCCCGGCCATTTTATTATTTTTTATGGAGACAAGGTCTTGCTATGTTGCCAAGTTTAGTCTCGAACTCCTAGTCTCAAGTGTTCTTGCCACCTCTGCCTCCTAAAGTGCTGGGATTACAGGCTGAGCCACTATGCCTCACCTTACTTTTCTTTAAAGTACCCGCTATCCTCATACCACTGCTGTCCAATATCAGCCCAGTGCTCTGCCAGCCTGTGCCAGACACCATCCTGATTCTCACCTCTGAGCCACTCACTGTCTGTTCCTGACCTGTGGGTTCTCCCCTTTCTCCAGTTCAGACCTTCCCTAGCCTTCAGGTCCATCTTATGTCCCATCTCTCAGCCTTCTAACCATCTCCTCCACCCATAGTGTTCTTTTTCCATTCAAACAACCACGTCATTTTAACAGAATAACACATCTTTTTAATAACTTTCTATTTATCTTTTATCTTGAAATAATTTCAGACTCACAGGAAAAATGGTAAAAATAGCACTAAAAATTCTTGTATATATTCTTCATCCAGATTCCTCAAAGGTTAACATTTTGCCATGTTTCCATGTTTGCTGTTTGTTTTGTCTTTGTTTTTGTTTTGTTTTGTTTTTTGAAACAAAGTCTCACTCTTATCACCCAGGCTGGAGTGCAGTGGCACAATCTCAGTTCATTGCAGCCTCTGCCTCCTGGGTTCAAGCGATTCTTCTGCCTCAGCCTCCCAAGTAGTTGGGATTACAGGTGTGCACCACCACACCTGGCTAGTTTTGTATTTTTGGTAGAGATGAGGTTTCACCATGTTGGCAGGCTGGTCTCAAACTCCTGACTTTAGGTGATCTGCCCGCCTTAGCCTCCCAAAGTGCTGGAATTACAGGCAGGAGCCACTGTGCCTGGCCTTGCTTTATCATATATTCTTTCTCTTCCCACCTCCTCTTTTTCCATATCTCTCTTCTACCTCTCCACACACATATGCACACACATATATATGTATATACTATGCTTTATGAACAGTTTGAAAGTAAGTTGCACACAGAATACTCTCTACACCTAAATACTTCAGTGTGTATTTCCTAAAAATAAGAACAATCTCTTATAAAGCCACAGTTTGATGATCAAAACAGGAAATTAACACTAATCCAGTAGTATCCTCTAATTTATTGACCTTATTCAGATGTTGCCAGTTATCCTATAAATGTCCTTTATGGCAAAAGAAAAAAAAAAGCCTTTCCTCTTCCTGTGGACCACATATCTTGCCATTTAAGACCTTGAGGCCTGATTTCTTTCTTTTATATATTTTAATGCACTTTAGGTTCTGGGGTACATGTGAAGAACATGCAGGATTGTTGCATAGGTACACACATGGCAATGTGGTTTGCTGCCTCCATCCCCATTATCCATATCTGGCATTTCTTCCCATGTTATCTTTCCCCAACTCCCCACCCCCCGCTGTCCCTCCCCTAGTCCTCCCCAACAGACCCCAGTGTGTGATGCTCCCCTCCCTGTGTCCATGTGTTCTCACTGTTCAGTACCCGCCTATGAGTGAGAACATGCGGTGTTTGATTTTCTGTTCTTGTGTCAGTTTGCTGAGAATGATGGTTTCCAGGTTCATCCATGTCCCTACAAAGGACACGAACTCATCGTTTTTGATGGCTGCATAGTTTTCCATGGTGTATATGTGCCACATTTTCCTGGTCCAGTCTATCATCAATGGGCATTTGGGTTGCTTCCAAGTCTTTGCTATTGTAAACAGTACTGCAATGAACATACGTGTGCATGTGTCCTTATAAAAGAAAGATTTATGATCCTTTGGATATATACCCAGTAAGGGGATTGCTGGGTCAGATGGGATTTCTATTTCTAGATCCTTGAGGAATCACCACACTGTCTTCCACAATGGTTGAACTAATTTACGCTCCTACCAACAGTATAAAAGTGTTCCTATTTCTCCACATCCTCTCCAGCATCTGTTGTCTCCAGATTTTTTAATGATCACCATTCTAACTGGCATGAGATGGTATCTCAATGTAGTTTTGATTTGCATTTCTCTAATGACCAGTGATGATGAGCATTTTTTCATATGTTTGTTGGCCTCATATGTTTTCTTTTGAAAAGTATCTGTTCATATCCTTTGCCCACTTTTGAATGGATTTGTTTGTTTGTTTGTTTATTGTAAATCTGTTTAAGTTCTTTGCAGATTTTGGATATAAGTCCTTTGTCAGATGGGTAGATTGCAAAAATTTTTTCCCATTCTGTTGGTTGCCAGTTCACCTAATGATTGTTTCTTTTGCTGTGCAGAAGCTCTGGAGTTTAATTAGATCCGATTTGTCTATTTTGGCTTTTGTTGCCAGTGCTTTTGGGGTTTTGGGCAAGAAGTCCTTACCTATGTACTTTTGGGCAAGAAGTCCTTGCCTATGTCTATGTCCTGAATGGTTTTGCCTAGGCTTTCTTCTAAGGTTTTTATGGTGTTAGGTCTTATGTTTAAATCTTTAATCCATCTGGAGTTAATTTTAGTGTAGGGTGTCAGGAAGGGGTCCAGTTTCTGCTTTCTGCACATGGCTAGCCAGTTTTCCCAACACCATTTATTAAAAAGGAAATCCTTTCCCCATTGCTTGTTTTTGTCAGGTTTGTCAAAGATCAGATGGTTGTCGATGTGTGGCATTGCCTCCGAGGACTCTGTTCTGTTCCATTGGTCTATATTTCTGTTTTGATACCAGAACCATGTTGTTTTGATTACTGTAGCCTTGTAGTATAGTTTGAAGTCAGGTAGCCTGATACCTCCAGGTTTGTTTCTTTTTTTTTTTTCCTTAGAATTGACTTGGCTATGCAGGCTCTCTTTTGGTTCCATATGACGTTTAAGGTGGTTTTTTTCCAGTTCGGTGAAGAAGGTCATGTAGCTTGATGGGATAGCATTGAATCTATAAATTACTTTGGGCAGTATGGCCATTTTCACGATATTGATTCTTCCTAACCATGAGCATGGAATGTTTCTCCATCTGTGTCCTCTTACTTACTTTGTTGAGCAGTGATTTGTAGTTCTCCTTGAAGAGGTCCTTTACATCCTTTGTTAGTTGTATTCCTAGATATTTTATTCTCTTTGTAGCAATTGTGAATGGCAGTTCATTCTTGATTTGGCTCTCTTTAAGTCTGTTATTGGTGTATAGGAATGTTTCTGATTTTTGCACATTGATTTTGTATCCTGAGACTCCTGAAGTTGCTTAGCAGTTTAAGGAGATTTTGGGCTGAGACGATAGGGTCTTCTAAATATACAATCATGTCATTTGCAAATAGAGACAATTTGACTTCCTCCTTTCCTATTTGAATACCCTTTATTTCTTTTTCTTGTCTGATTGCTCTGGCCAGAACTTCCAATACTATATTGAATAGGAGTGGTGAGAGAGGGCATCCTTGTCTAGTGCCAGATTTCAAAGGGAATGCTTCCAGTTTTTGCCCATTCAGTATGATGTTGGCTGTGGGTTTGTCGTAAATAGCCTTTATTATTTTGAGATACATTCCGTCCATACCTAGTTTATTGAGAGTTTTTAGCATAAAGGGCTGTTGAATTTTGTCAAAGGCCTTCTCTGCATCTATTGAGATAATCATGTGGTTTTTGTCTTTGGTTCTGTTTATGTGGTGAATTATGTTTATGGATTTGCATATGTTGAACCAGCCTTGCATCCCCAGGATGAAGCCTACTTGATTGTGACAGATAAGCTTTTGATGTGCTGTTGTAATCGGTTTGCCAGTATTTTATTGAAGATTTTTGCATCTATGTTCATCGTGGATATTGGCCTGAAGTTTTCTTTTCTTGTTGAGTCTCTGCTGGGTTTTGATATCATGATGATGTTGGTCTCATAAAATGATTTGGGAAGGATTCCCTCTTTTTGGATTGTTTGGAATAGTTTCAGAAGGAATGGTACCATCTCCTCTTGGTATGTCTGGTAGAATTCGGCTATGAACCCATCTGGACCTGGGCTTTTTTTGGTTGGTAAGCTATTAATTGCTGCCTCAACTTAAGCCCTTGTTATTGGTCTATTCAGGGTTTCGACTTCTCGGTTTAGGCTTGGGAGGATGTAAGTGTCCAGGAATTTATCCATTTCTTCCAGGGTTACTTGTTTATGTTCATAGAGTTCTTTGTAGTAATCTCTGATGGTGGTTTGTATTTCTGTGGAATCTGTGGTGATATCCCCTTTATCGTTTTTTATTGCATCTATTTGATTATTCTCTCTTTCTTCCTTGTTAGTCTGGCTAGTGGTCTGTCTATTTTGTTGATCTTTTCAAAAAACCAGCTCCTGGATTTATTGATTTTTTGAAGGGTTTTTTGTGTGTCTATTTCCTTCAGTTCTGCTCTGATCTTAGTTATTTCTTGTCTTCTGCTAGGTTTTGAGGTTTTTTGATCTTGCTCCTCTAGCTCTTTCAATTTTGATGATAGGGTGTTGATTTTAGATCTTTCCTTGCTTCTCATGTGAGCATTTATTGCTATAAGTTTTCCCCCAGACACTGCTTTAAATGTGTCCCAGAGATTCTGGTACATTGTCTTCATTCTTACTGGTTTTGAAGAACATCTTTATTTCTGCCTTTATTTCATTGTTTATCCAGTCAACAGTCAAGAGCCAACTGTTCAGTTTCCATGAAGTGTGGTTCTGAGTTAGTTTCTCAATTCTGAGTTCTAATTTGATTGCCCTGTGGTCTGAGAGACTGTTTGTTATGATTTCCGTTCTTTTGCATTTGCTGAGGAATTTATTTCCAATTATGTGGTCAGTTTTAGAGTGGGTGTGATGTGGTGCTGAGAAGCATATATATTCTGTGGATTTAGGGTAGAGAGTTCTGTAAATGTCTATTAGCTTTGCTTGGTCCAGGTCTGAGTTCAAGTCCTGGATATGCTTGTTAATTTTCTGTCTCGTTGATCTGTCTAGTATTGACAGTGGAGTGTTAAAGTCTCCCACTATTATTGTATAGGAGTCTAAGTCTCTTTGTAGGTCATTAAGAACTTGCTTTCTGTATCTGGGTGCTCCTGTATTGGGCACATATATATTTAGGATTGTTAGCTCTTCTTGTTGCATTGATCCTTTTACGATTATGTAATGCCCTTCTTTGTCTCTCTTGATCTTTGTTTATTTAAAGTCCATTTTATCAGAGACTAGAATTGCAACTCCTGGGGTTTTTTGCTCTCCATTTGCTTAGTAGATCTTCCTCCATCCCTTTATTTTGAGCTATGTTGCATGTGAGATGGGTTTCCTGGATACAGCACACTGATTGGGTTTTGACTTTTTATCCAGTTTGCCAATTAGCCCATTTACATTTAAGGTTAATACTGTTATGTGTGAATTTGATCCTGCCATTTTGATGCTAGATAGTTGTTTTGCCTATTAGTTGACTCAGTTTCTTCATTGTGTCAATACTCGGTACCATTTGGTATGTTTTTGGAGTGGCTGGTACTGGTTGTTCCTTTCTATGTTTAGTGCTTCTTTCAGGAGCTTTTGTAAAGCAGGCCTGGTGGTGATGAAATCTCTGAGCAATTGCTCGTTCATAAAGGATTTTATTTCTCCTTCACTTATGAAGCTTAGTTTGGCTGGATATGAAATTCTAGGTTGAAAGTTCTTTTCTTTAAGGATGTTGGATATTGGCCCGCCCTCTATTCTGGCTTGTAGGGTTTCTGCTGAGAGATCAACTATGAGTCTGATGGGCTTCCCTTTGTGGGTAGCCCAACCTTTCTCTCTGGCTGTTCTTAGTATTTTTTCCTTCATTTCAACCCTGGTGAATCTGAAGATTATGTGCCTTGGGGTTGCTCTTCTTGAGGAATATCTTTGTGGTGTTCTCTGTATTTCCTGGACTTGAATATTGGCCTGCCTTGCTAGGTTGGGGAAGTTCTCCTGGATTATATCCTGAAGAGTGTTTTCCAGGTTGGATTCATTCTCTCCATAACATTCTGATACACCTATCAAACGTAGAATAGGTCTTTTAACATAATCCCATATTTCTTGGTGGCTTTGTTCATTTCTTTTTACTCTTTTTTCTCTAATCTTGCCTTCTCATTTTATTTCATAGAGTTGATCTTCAATCTCTGATATTCTTTCTTCTGCTTGGTCAATTCAGCTATTGAAAGTTGTGTATGCTTCGCAAAGTTCTCATGTGTGTTTTTCAGCTCCATCAGTTCATTTATATTCCTCTCTAAGCTGTTTATTCTCATTAGCATTTCATCAAACCTTTTTTCAAGGTTCTTAGTTTCTTTGCATTGGGTTAGAACGTGATATTTTAGCTCAGAGAAGTTTGTTATTACCCACCTTCTGAAGCCTGATTCTGTCAATTCATCAGACTCATTCTCCATCCAGCCTTGTTCCCATGCTGGTGAGGAGTTGTGATCCCTTGGAGGAGGAGAGGTGTTCTGGTTTTGGGTATTTTCATCCTTTTTGCACTGGGTTCTTCCTATGTTTGTGGATTTATCTACCTGTGGTCTTTGTGGTTGGTGACTTTCAGATGGGGTCTCTCAGTGGACCTTTTTGTTGCTGATGAAGTTATTTCTTTCTGTTTCTTAGTTTTCCTTCTAACAGGCCCCACTGCAGTAGGACTGCTGAGGTCCACTCCAGACCCTGCTTGCCTGGGGATCACCTGCAGTGGCTGCAGAACAGTAAGAGTTGCTGCCAGTTTCTTCATCTGTTATCTTTGTCCCAGAAAGATACCCACCGGTTGTCAGGCTGAGCTCTCCTTTATGAGGTGTTTCTTTGATTATATGGGGGTCGGGGAGCTGCTCGAGGAGACAGTCTGTCTCCATTGTTCTGTTCAGAGCTTCTGGGCAGGTATGTTTAAGTCTGCTGTGGCGGAACTCATAACTGCCTTTTTCCCCAGGTGCTCTGTCATGGGAAGGTGGGGCTTTATTTATAAGTTTCTGTCATTCTGCTGCCTTTTTTTCAGAGATGCCCTGCCCAGCGAGGAGGTAGCCTAGTCACAGTCTGCCAGCAGAGGTGTTGCTGAGCTGCTGTGGGCTCTGCCCAGCTGCTGTGTGAACTTCCTTGCAGTTTTGTTTACAGGGGTATAGTTAGAACTGCCTCAGTAATGGCAGACTGTCTCTGTAATGGCAGACTGCCTCAGTAATGGCAGACTTCCTCAGTAATGGCAGACCATCTCTGTAATGATGGACTGCCTTGGTAATGGTGGACTGTCTTGGTAGTGGTGGACTGCCTTGGTAGTGGTAGACTGCCTCGGTAATGGCGGACACTCTTCCCCACACAGAGCTGGACCAACCTGGGTCCAGCTGTGCTTGCTATGAAACTCTCAATCCAGAGCATTTCAGATTGCTCGTCTTTGTGGGGGTGGGAGCAGCCGAGTCAGATCACCTGGCTCCCTGTTTCAGTCCCCTTTTTTCAGTTGAATGGGTGACTGTCTCCCAGGCATTCCAGTTGCCAGTGGAAATGATTCCTGCATTGTGTGAGTTTTTGTGCAGAGACCCACTGCACCGGTGGAAACAGCCACGCTGGAGACTCATGGCACTTTTCCACCTGGGAATCTCCAGGTCTGTGGGCAGTATAAATTCGTTTGGAAATGCGGTGATCACTAACCCTCTGTTTTTTTGCTGGGAACTGCAATCCAGAGCTGTTCCTATTCGGCCATCTTGGATCCTCCTCAGGCCTGATTTCTTATATTGTTTGGTTTCCTCCTCAGTACCCAGGTTAGTCGTGTGTACTGATTGGCATTTGCCCAGCACACAGTAGGCTCTGAGTAACATTTTGGAGATGGACGGATGAATCAATGATGACAGTGAGCCCGGGTGAACTTGGTAGAAGCTCTCACCCTGGGCTTAATCACACAGCTGGCAGCCAGCAGCTCAGTGATCTCAGCATGCTCCTGTCCAGAATCACTGCCTCATGCAATCTTCCTGGGGCATTCAGTGGGTAGCAACACACCTCCCATCGTGGAAATGTACAACTGGTAACCTACAAGTTACTAACTTGCCTGAAGTCACAGAACAACCCATATCCAGGCCAGTAACACTGCTTCCCCTTAAGCTGCAGAGGTGGATCTCTCTGGATGAATAATTGTTAATATTAACCCACTCATTCATTCAGCAAATCATTATTGAGTGCCTACTGTGTGTCAGCCACATTGCTATACAGCAGTGAACCAAAAAAGTCCCTGCCCTCAAAAAGCTTACAGTTTAGGGGGAGAAGGGCAGACAGTAAATACATATGTGGAGATATAGTTTTTTGTATGGTGACAAGTGTCATGGGGTATGGGGACCATAAAGCAAGATGAGAAGGATGAGGGGTGCTGGGGGCAGGGCTGCTGTTTGTATGGGGTGGTTAGGGAAGATCTCATTGGTGAAGTGGCTTTTCCTCCCTTTTTATAGTAAGTTATAATTTCCCTGGAGTGAACTTCACCCTCTTTAGTGCACAATTCTGTGACTCTTGATAAATTAATATAATCATGTGACTCCCAGCATGGTCAAGATCTGGTTCTGTCACCACAAAACATTTCCCTGTGCCCCTTTTCAGGCCACCCTTCCCCCACCCCACCTCTGGCAACCATTCATTAATCTGTTCTCCATTTCTATAGTTCTGCCTTTTCTAGAATGTCATATAAATGGAATCATACAGTATGTGACCTTTTGAGTTTGGCTCCTCTGAGCAGAAGAGAAAGATAAATCATTGGGATTCGTCTGTGTTCTTGTATCAGTAGTTCATTCCTTTTTATTGGTGGCATTAATGTACCTCAGTTCATCCATGTGGATACCTTCTGGTTTTTGTCAGTTTGAATAAGGCCACTGCAAATATTCACATACAGGTATTTGTGTGCCTGTAGGTTTTCATTTCATTTGGACAGATAGGTTAGATGGCTTTTGAGCAAAGACCTGAAAGAAATATGAAAACAAGCCATGAAAATAGTTCAGGATGCTTTTGCACATGCACCATATTGTGATTTAGCCAAGTGAATAGGTTTGCACCGCATAACTTTTCTGTTTGGGTCATTTTTCTTATTTGAGTTATTTGGAGCAAGTAGGGATAAGACCATTCATTCATTCATCCATTCATCCATCCAACAAACATTTACAAAAATGAAAGCCACCAGTCCACAGTGTGTGACCCAAAGGAAGCTTGCGACCCTTGGATCTACACCAAAGGCTAATTTTAGTTGGTTTATCTGACATGACATAATTTCCTTTCTGAGTTTCCTGAAAGTTAGGATGAGACAGTGGTTAATGAGTGTGACATTATCTTCAAATAGGGCTGTGGGAGCAGAAGCATTTTTGAGAGTTTTTAATCTGATTGGAGGCTTCAGGGACCCTTTCATAGGTCCCTGAGAATTGATATTCTTTTTTGTCTACAAGGTTGTCTGTGTGAAAGGGCAAGGTGATCTCTCAAAAGACATATTCATTTACTTTCCTTTTTCTTTATTTTTTTTCTTGAGACAGTCTCACTCTGTCGCCCAGGCTGGAGTGCAGTGACATGATCTCTGCTCAGTGCAGCCTCCACCTCCCAGGTTCAAGCGATTCTTCTGCCTCAGCTTACTGGGTAGCTGGGATTACAGGCACCCACCACCAGCCCAGCTAATGTTTTTGTATTTTTAGTAGAGATGGGGTTTCACCACTCTGGCCAGGCTGGTCTCAAACTCCTGATCTCAAATGATCCACCCTCCTTGGCCTCCCAAAGTGCTGAGATTATAGGTGTGAGCCACTGTGCACAGCCTGAAAAGACATATTCAAATAAGAGCCCTCCATGGATAAGGGGCCAGTGGATAAGACTACATCTTCCTCGGATCAGGAGCTTTGTGAAAAAACAAAACTACAGGAAATAACTTGTGGACTTCTTTGTTTCAGGTGATGCAACTGTGAAAAAGAAACCTGCCCCTAAGACGCCTCCGAAGGCAGGTAATTGGCCATGGCACTATCTGGGGGCAAAGAAGTCATCTGCCATGGGGGTTTTGCCTTTACGTGATCCCTCAGTTCCAGCTCTGCATTTTTCAGGCTGAGTTTGCTCACCACAAGCCTCTGCACAGCCTGGCCCCTTGTCCTCTTCCATGGCTTTGCCCTTCCTTCTGCTTCCCATGTTGACAGCATCACAGAGGACTAGCCCCTCTCCTGCCAACCCCTGCTGTGAATTCAGTCCTGCCATCCATCCTTCTCTCTGCCCTTGTGTACATGACCCCCTCAGGGCTATTTTGGTGCCCAGCTCTGTGTATCCTTGTTATATGGAGCCCTTGTCTCTTTTCCATTGGATGATACTTGAGGACTTGAATCAAGCCTGCCAGCCAGGGTTTGACTAGAGGTTAGAAGGCAAGGTGCTGCTCAATTCATAAGTGAGTTAGGAGCTCAATTCAAAAAATTAGGGTAAGACACAAATTCCAGTACAACCAATAAATCGTGTGGGTCACTTCTGAGGGAATCAGAATGAAAAGGTGAACTAAGCTAGCAGGTTCATAAACTTGGATGTCCTGCAGCAGGAATCACTGCCCTCAGTCTTACCCTGAAGTTTCCAGAAGCCAAGAGAAGAGCCAGCAGACCACTGTGGACAGCAGCGTCAAATGAGATAAGAATGCCTGAGATCCTTCTGCCTCACTCATTTTCTCCCTGTCCTCCCTCAGCAATGCCCCCTCAGATCATCCAGTTTCCTGAGGACCAGAAGGTCCGTGCAGGAGAGTCAGTGGAGCTGTTTGGAAAAGTGGCTGGCACGCAGCCCATCACCTGTACCTGGATGAAGTTCCGAAAGCAGGTCAGTGACAGGATGGGGTGGGCATTGGCAGTGCTGAGAACCCGCACAGCCTTTGGGCCAAAAGAGATGAGAAATGCCATGCTGGACTGGCCTCACTCTTCGTAGCTTTAGAAATGGGAGAGGCCACTCCCCTACCCGTCACTCACTCACCAAACCTGAGTTCTTGCTAACCTTTGCTTCTGAACCTACCAATAATCCCTGCCTTTGTAGACAATTTGTGTAATAGAGAAAAACGTGAGGGAAAAAGTAGAAACCATCCATGGCTCCCATCTGATTTGATAGCACAGTCTAGAATCCTACTCAGAGTCAGGAAAGTCAAGCCAGTGACCCAAGATGACCTCTTAGATTCCATGGGCTTGCTGTGATTCTGTGCCAGCCCATTGATTCCTGTCTGTGATAACTGCTTAAACTTGCCACATGCTGAAGGAATAAAAGCAATTGTGAGTATTTGGATAGAACTGTATGATAAATAGAACTGTGTCTTACTGAGCCAGAAATCTAGCTACAATTTATCATAATGATTCCTACAGAAAAATGTTTGAATTTCCAGACAACCAGCTTTGAAAGGACTTGGGGAGCCTAGCAGCTCCACCAGTACCGTGGTGATAGTGTATGCCCATATGCATGATCAGCAGAGACCCTGTAACAGTGGGCTGGCCCAGGAGTGGGAAGTTGTGAAGATTTATTCTGAGCCGGGCACAGTGGCTCATGCCTGTAATCCCAGCACTTTGGGAGGCCAAGGTGGGCAGATCATAAGGTCAGGAGTTCAAGACCAGACTGGCCAACATGGTGAAACCCCATCTCTACTGAAAAATACAAAAATTAGCTGGGCATGTTGGCTCGTGCCTGTAATCCCAGCTGCTTGGGAGACTGAGGTAGGAGAATTGCTTGAACTGGGACCCAGGAGGCGGAGGTTGCAATGAGCCGAGATTGCGCCACTGCACTCCAGCCTGGGCTACAGAGTGAGACTCCATCTAAAAAAAAAAAGGTTTCTTCGGAGCCCTCTGTTGCTGTGTTTTAAAACCAGTCAAATTCTCCTAAGCCCAGAGATGAGCAGCAGGTCTGAGATGAGCATGTAGTACTAACAGGGAGGAAAGTAGGGTTGGTCTCAAAAATGGAAAAGAGAAGCTTGCCTTCAGCATCCCAGAGCACGTTTGTCCTGAGCTATGTCTGGACTACTGTCGTCTGAAGTAAGATGGAATCTCATCACTTTGCAGAGACATTTAGCCAAGTCCCAGCTCTGTCCTTCAGCTTTCTGAAATGATGTGTTAGCTTTGTGCTATCCAATATGGCAGCTACCAGCCATAATATGTGGCTGTTGAGCACTTGACATGTGGCCACTGCAACCGAGGAACTGGATGTTTAATTGTAATTAATTAAAAAGTGTTATAGCAGCTTTGTTAAGATATAATTCATATACCATAAAATTTGCTCTTTTAAAGTGTAAAATTCAGTAGTTTTCAGTAGATTCACAAGGTTGTGCAAGCATCACCATTATCTAATTCTAGAATACTTTCATCATTCCCAAAAGAAATCCCAGACCCATTAGCAGACATTCCTCCCCTTCCCCCAGGCCATAACAGCCACTAATAGTATTTATGGATTGGTTTCTTCTGGACATTTCATATAAATGGAATCATGCAGTGTGTCATCTTCTCTGTATAGTGTTTTTTTTCACTTAGCATACTCTTTTCAGGGCTCATTCATGTTGTAGCATGAATCAGTACTTCATTCCTTTCGATGAATCAATAATATCCCATTGTCAGGATAGAACGCATTTTGTTTATTTGTTCATCAGTTGATGGACATCTGGGTTGTTTCCACTTAGTTAATTAAAATTTAAATAGCCACATGTGACTAGCAGCCATGGCATTGGGCAGCACAGAAGAGGTTAGAACCCACAGGAGTGGGCCTTGTGAATGACTTTGCTGAGATGTGTTCTGCTATCATCCCATTCCAGAGAGGTAGAGGGAGACCTGGATACTCCTGAGAACAGTGAGTGCTCAGCTAGTTCATCCATCCTGCCCCTGCTTCACCCCCTCCTTGCCCACCCCAGACCTGCCACCCTCAGGGAAGCTAGGTTCTGGATGAAGGAGAGAAGGGGCCTCAGGGGGAAGTGCAGAGTCCAGACCAGTCCGAGCCCCCCACAGCTTGTGTGGCTGCATATTTCAGGGAGTAGGGAAAGGGGAGGAGCCCCCTTCCTTTCCTGGCTCAAGGGCCTAAAGCTCGAGCCCCTTCTCTGTCTTCCACCCCTAGATCCAGGAGAGCGAGCACATGAAGGTGGAGAACAGCGAGAATGGCAGCAAGCTCACCATCCTGGCTGCGCGCCAGGAGCACTGCGGCTGCTACACACTGCTGGTGGAGAACAAGCTGGGCAGCAGGCAGGCCCAGGTCAACCTCACTGTCGTGGGTGAGTCTGCCGGCCAGGTGGCATGGAGTATGGGGCAAAGGGAAGGCAGCAAGCCCCCAGGCAAGAAGTATGGGCCTCAGGACCTTATCACCTGGTCTCTCTCACCATTCCTGTGCCTAGTTTTTAAGGCACCACAGAAGGAAGATCACAGCAACTCACAGACTCCCTGCTAGACCCTGCTGACCTCCAGGCTCAGTGGAGGGGCCACAGCTGGGCAGAAATCCTTTTCCCTGTCTCTTATCAGGACCTCTCTGTGATAGCTGTTCCTGGAGTTCCCTGCCCTCAGGCCTTGACATCTAGCTTCTTTGAGAAATACAACACATGAGGCATAAACTTAGTCAACTTCTTGACGCCCACACCACAGGTGTCTGTCTCTGTCCCCATCCTGACTCCACCCTCCAGGCTCTGGGGATGGCCCACCTTGGTCCTGCTGAAGGTTGCTTCCTTCTTCTGTGCTTTGGACCCCAGACCCTGTGGGGGCTCCACCATTCCCACTTCTCTCTCCAACCTGTTCCTCTCTCCTGGCTCCTCCCAGCAGCCCATAAGTGTCACCATCTTAGCCAGATGCACAGGCATGTATAACTTCTGCAGTGTTCTCTCTCGCTCCAGCCGCCCTACCTTCTCTCTCTGACAGGTGTGAGTCTCTACTGCATTCCTGCTTTTTCACCCCCAGCACCTTCCAGCTTCCTGTGGCCTCACCCCCACACCCCATTAGTCTGCCGGGACTGTCTTTATGAGGTCATGATGACCTCCCAATCCTGACTCCACTCACTTTTCCTTATCACTTCCTTCATCCCAGGATTGAGTTGGGTCTGTCTCCAGACTGATTGTCAAGTTCACGTTTTCTCTCCTTCCTAACCACTGTCTTCAAGCCCTGGTCAGCTCTCTCCCGGAGCATCAAAGAGCTTTCTAACCAGTTTCCCACCGTTGTCATATTCTGCTTCAGTTGTTCCCCATGTGGCAGGTACTCAGGACAGCAGAAGAACGAGCAGGCAGAGGAGCAGACAGATACAGACTAGACCCTATGTCTCATGCATTTGTGGGCCTTCATATATTGTGCATGCGGAAGCCTTTGACCTGGTGTTTATTGATATGTGCACCAGACCCAAGCAGGTTTTCCATTTGTCCTTGGCTTTCAAGCTCATAAGGTACATTTGTGAAAATTAGAAAAAGGGCCTTGCTGGGTAGAGTGAAAAGGGTACAGCACTTCCAGCCTCACCCCAGAGCTCATGACCTGGCCTTGGGGAGCACAGATTAGCCAGATGCCCTTACTAGGCCCCTTTTATGTAGCACACAAAACTCTCAGCTGTGTGTGCTGGTCCCAACCTTGACTTCCTGCATACTAGCCTTTCCTGTGTGCTCCTGGTGCACACACACGTGGGCACACAGAATAAAAGGATCTGTTGGTAACAGGGTTCGTGTGGCTATGGTGGTTAGAGGCCTTCCCCGGGAATCTTTCTTATGGAGGTATCTAGACACGAAGTTAGAAGTTGGAGACAGTAACTCTTAAGGTTTCCTGTAGCTCTGACATTCTACAATTCCCAACTCTGTTCTCTGACATTCTGATTCATTTACTATATTCTCTGATATTCTGATTCCTCGGCTCTATTCTCTGACATTCTGTGTTTCTTCAACTCTAATTCTCTGGTAGTCTATGATTCCTTGACTTGTTCTCTGACATTCTATGATTGTCTGACTTAGTTCTCAAGCACTTTTTCTTCCCTATCTTCATCTTGTATCCTCACCTTAGGACTAGGATAGACAGGACTGATGTTTCCAGCCTTAGATAGGGGAAACTGAAGACTATTATGAGCAAAGTAACATCGTGCATCAGGGCCTAAGTGAGAACTAGCTTTAAACTTTCAAGCACTTGTCCTCCAGTGCCACTCATGGGAGTGTGGAAGTAGGTACAGAATGTTCCAAAAGGCAAAGGGACACACTCTGGCTGCAAAATTCATCTTGAGGGGGACATGCAAGCCTTCTGGGGAGCTGTCCACATGCCAGGGAGTTGTTGATGTCTGTCCTTCCATTTTTCTCATGCTGAACCTTAGAAAGCCCTGTAGCGCTTTTCTCCAGCCCCTAAGCACTTGGGGAAGAAGAAGCCCTTGTCCAACCAGGTGAATAGGGAAGACATGAGGACAAAGGACAAAGTAAAACAGAGCCGGGAAGACAAAGGAGGGGGACAGTGAGCTGTGCCCCCGCCAGCTACCAGAACAGACCATGGGTTCTAGGCCCTGGCTTGATGCTCCAGACAGGAAGTACTGCAAAGCCCCCTGGAAGATTGTCCCCAGACACAGGAGACCTGGGAGAGGGAATTCACAGAGGACTGAGCTCCAGCATCCACTCCCCACCCTCAATTGTCCATATTTCCCTTTGCCTTCTCACTTGCTCTGTTCCTCTCCCTGGCCTTGTTTCTTCACCCCACGCTCCATTTTTGCCATTTCTCAGGGTCTGTCATCCTGTCCCACATCTCCTCTTTCCCCCTTGTCTTCCTCTGGCCCTCATTCGTTTGTTTCTTTCAATTAGAAGTTTCAGATTGGGGAAGACTGGTGTACAAAGGAGTCAGGGAATGGGTTTTTTTAATCTCTAAAGGAGTAGAATAACCCTTTTCTCACTCTGTCTCTTTTTGGTGACTCCAGGTGCTTATCTGAATAACTTCCCCCCAAGGAGTCAGGAACCTGTCAGTGCTTGGTATTAGCAATCCAGTTTGCTGGTACATTTAGATCTGTTCTGAAGCCCTGATTTGGCCCTGTTCTCCCGTCCTATCAGCAAGCATCAGTTTCAACTTTTCTTTGATGTTCTCTCTCATCTGTTCCTCCTTAAGCAACTTTGGGGTCAGCTTCTTTGAACTGCTTTTCTGTACTCAGCCATCCCTTCCCCAGCCCCCACTATGCCCAGCTCCTGCACGGTGCCACGCGCTCCCCTCCCCCGATCACCACTAAGTGGGCTGCAGTTCTGGCCTTTTATGGTTTAGTTTCTTATTCTCTGCGGCCAGTGCTGACAGGGCCATTGGCGTGGCTGTCCGCCAGCTGGCAGGAGCAACATGTTAAATGCCGTCCTGGGAGGGGAATGGAATGGAGGAGAACCGAGGCTTTCTGTCTGCCTCCCCCTCAAAGAGCTAAGAATAGAATTGCTCAATAAAACAGGACTCACATTGATGGATACAGCAAAGCCACATTCATTCAGAGCCCATGCACTTAGAATATTAGTTCAAAGTAAACCTGGATGAGGCTCAGATTTACCTGTGCATCTCCAGGGACATCTCTGTCTTCTCTGATGATGGTTTATTAAGCAGATGTAAAACATACATGAGATAAAATGGGAATCATTTGGTCTGCTCCAGACAGTTTTCGTGCACTCTAGAAGCATGCATTTACAGACCAGCCAGGTAAGGCCAGTTTAATACAACTCCTACTTGTTAGCAGCAAAATTCTCTTATTGTATATTCTTTAAAGGACCACTTTCTTTTCAGATCATCTCTGACTCCTATTTTTCAAATGATAATAAAAACTAGCTTTTCCCTCTGTTAGCTTAAGTGAGTGATATTTGGCTATTTTGGAGACTTATTATATTTTAAAAGGCAGCCCAGGAATTTGCGATGCCCAAAGCCTCTTCCTACACATGCGCCCCTGGTCTTGACCTGTGGGGAATGAGGGAGGAGACAGTGAGCAGCACACCCAGATGGATTCCTTAAGGTCACTCACCCAACATGAGAAAAGCAAGTCCCTTTTCGTATCTTTAAAGGAGCGAAACAGTAGAGAGAAGAACCCCAAATACCCAATAATCCCCAAATACTGAGTTTAGAGCTTGCATGACTTCCCATCTGAATGCTCAGCTCGGGCTTAAGCAAGATGCCTTCTTGAGCTCATTCTGCCTGATAGCCTGGAAAGTCCTGAGCCCCGAAGCGAGGGTCCAGTGGCTTCTTGGAATCTCCTTTTGGCTTTGCCACTGACTACTGGGTTTTTTTGGTAAGCAAAATGCCTTAGCTGCTGAAGGTCCATTTCCCAAGGGCTAGGATCATCCAGGTAGATGGCCTTTGGGGGCCCTTCCAGCAGCTCCTGAAGTCCCAGGGCAGGGACATCCAGGTGGGACTAGGCACAGCCACTGGTCATCTTCCAAGAAGCAAGCATAAAGAGACCTTGAGGGAAGTTACTCTAGTGGGAAGCTGTAGGACAGGATCCTCCATTTTCCTGGGAAATAGAACATTTGCTGAGGAGAAAATCCTGGAGCTGGTGCCATTGGAGACCCTTCTCTTAGACTCAGCTGAGTTTCCTATTCTGTTAAGCCTCCAGGGAGCCGTGGGAGAATTCAGAGGAAATGTGGAGTCTCCTTTGCCCAGAGATACCCAGGGTCTCCCTCCCAGTCTGAGCATGTCGCCGTGGAGGAGAGGCTCACAGGAGCGCCCTGTTCCAAGGACATCTGTTCTTTTATAAGGGTTTTCATCCCTCACTAGTTCAGCTGCTGCATGGGGCTCTGTAGCTAAGAAAGAAAGTATTAGGTACAGCCCACGGCTCTAAAGGCAGGTGGAGGTGTGGGAGGCCTCCAGTATGACAGGACTTCTGACTTGGGTCTTTTCTGAACTCCTTAATTTGGTAGCAAATTCCTTAAAAGTGTTGGAGTTTCACATGGAATTAAAGTCCCTCTCCCCAAATTTCGCATCTTGTGTGACAAGTCTTACATATCATATACGTCATGTATAGGTTCTCATTCTCAGCCAAGAGGCATCTATAACAGGGTGGGGTTCAAATGGCACCTCTTCTGCAACACCCATTTCTTAGTTTTCTTTTCTTGACCAAAGCAGAAAGAAAATCAGTTGGCAGAGTGCATTCATATAAGCCCACATAACTTCAAATGTGGCCAATCACATGGTTTCCGGGCAGCTTTCTCTGGGGGGAGTAGTGGGTCTGTCTTCAGTCCCTCTTTAGGCTTTTTTACTTCCTTAGCTCAGTCTTTAGAGAACTTGAACCACTTGTCTCTAAGAGAATTTAGAGTAATAAACATCTTCGCCAAAACCAGAAATGTTTCAAAAAAGGCCAATATATCTCTCAGAACAAACAGTTTTTCTAAGAGAACATATTAAACAGCCAGCGAAAGTGGTTCCGTCGCAGGAAGCCTCTGGCATGGCTGCCAGCACTGGAAAGTGGCGCTGTCACAATCCCAGAATCATTCCCAGGGCTTTGGTTACTGGGGATAGACAGTTTCTGGGCAGTGCATTCTGGGCTGGAATGTGGATCAGCAGGGCTGGGAGAGGGAACAAAAATGCATATGAATATGAGTATATATGCTCATATACACATGCAGGTTTTTCTTCTCCATATACACAGGGTCATTTGCAGGAATTCCCTTTCACCTTCCTGCCTTGCTGGGGTTGGGAGAGTAGTGGTCACGTATTTTATCTGTTTGCTTACTTGACGCTTGCAAAAACCCTAAGCGGTAGGTGCATATTAGCATCATTCTCTAAATGAGAAGGTCAGGCAAACAGACTGCTTTCAAATTTGCTGGAGTTGACCTAGCTTAAAAGCATGGTTTCAATTGCGACTTTGTGAGGCTTCGTGAACTCAAACAGCATTGGGGGAGATGAAGGGTTAATGAACACAGATATCTGTAACTAACCAACCATCTGCAAAAACTAAATCTGAAAAATAGGAGAGTTTTGCTCAGATAAGCAACTAATAAAATCAGCAAAACTCAAGAGCCTCATTAAAGTATTGGCTACCATGATTTGACTTGAAGTTGGCAGGACTACTAGTTCTGAGGCCAGGTCATCTGAATGGGAAGGCAGCGAGCCAAAAGGGCCACTTCTTATTTGTGTCCTCAGCTCATTTTCTGTCCATTAGTCAGGGATGGTATTGTGGTTTGCTTTTGAAATTATTTATATCTCAACAGTCCTCTGAGAATAAAAGAGGTAGGGTAGGAGTAATTTTTATGTATATTAAAGTTAGAAATAAACTCCTACAATCATCTTGACAGTAATGACTAGTCAAGCCAGCCACTCTTCTAAGAATTTCTCACAACCTCCTGTGATGTAAGTGCTATTGTTATTCACATTTTACATAGGAGGAAACTGAAGCACAGGGCGATCAACAGCTACTGTGTGGAGACAGATCTGTGTTCAAACCTGAATCTGTCTGATTTCAGAGCACAAACACTGTGCTTGTAGTGGGGCAGGCATTTCTCAAGACCCAGAGAAAGTGGAAGCAGACCCCTAGTTATGTCACAGGTCATTGGCCAATGGCCTGAAGGACAGACACAGACACACACACACACACACACACACGCATGTGCGCACACACACACTCATGCTGAACTCTCTCTCTCAAAACATGTTTTTGATGAAAAATAGTCCACGCCTTCTCGGCAGCTTCCTAGATCTGTTTACTCTGAGAAATATGTTTATGACTTGGGCAAAGTACAGGAAACCGTGACTTGTATGTAGACTGGAAAATTAGCCAAAAAAGGGGGAGGTACTTTTTTGGAGCAAATAGTTATACATGGGGCTTTCCGGACAGGTGGGTTTGTGCACAGCTCTAACTGTAATGTACAGATGAGGGAAAGAGACACAGGACCAGGGACTTCAGAGTGGGTTCTTTAGGCTGCATTTCCCCCATGACAGTGGTAATTCAAAATTTCTTTTCCCTGCAATTCTGGAAAGTGTGGATGATGTTGTGCTTCTTTATTCCCAGATAAGCCAGATCCCCCCGCTGGCACACCTTGTGCCTCTGACATTCGGAGCTCCTCGCTGACCCTGTCCTGGTATGGCTCCTCGTATGATGGGGGCAGTGCCGTACAGTCCTACAGCATCGAGATCTGGGACTCAGCCAACAAGACATGGAAGGAACTAGCCACATGCCGCAGCACCTCTTTCAACGTCCAGGACCTACTGCCTGACCACGAGTACAAATTCCGTGTACGTGCAATCAACGTGTATGGAACCAGTGAGCCAAGCCAGGAGTCTGAACTCACAAGAGTAGGAGAGAAACCCGAAGGTAGGCTGCCTACACTTCATCAGTACCTTCAAATAAATGTGCATGACTGACCTTGTGTACTGAGAGGGGTAAAGAGGAACTAAGGAAACATTAATGATGACTGGCAGGGTCTTTTGGGGTCTTAGTTTCTAAGACAGTGATGTTGAGCCATTCTTCAAAAGACATTGAACCAGCAATTTTGGCATGCTGCCACCAGGGGATGATGGTGTGTTAGGAGCATAGGAGCTCCAGTAGGCCTCAAGTTCCTCTTCCACCCTCCATCTCCTCTCTCCTCTTATATCCATATTTGAGTGTCTACTTGGTGTCAGACTCTTGGGATGCAAATATAAGTCATGGAGCTTAAAATCTAGGGGAACGGATGTTTGTATGGCTAACTATAATGAGAAAGGATGCATGCTATTATAGCTGGGTAAACAAAGAACCAAGGGACATAGCAGAGTGCATGGAGAATTTTTCCATGGAGACCAAGGAAGGCTTCCTAGAGAAGGTGACACTTAAATCTGAGTCTTGGAAAAAGGGATAGGATTCTAAAAGGCAGAGAAGATAAGGAAAGGCACACTCTACAAGAAGAAACAGCATGAACAAAGGTACAAAGCAATGGCAGTGTGTGGCATTTTGAGATGCTTACATGTGGCCAAGGCATATATTGTGTGAAATTGAACAGGAGGAAGTAAGACTAAAAGGGCATTTTAGGTTAAGTTGTGAAGTTCATCAAAGATTCTCAGGCAGGGGATCGAGAAGTTTAGATCTGGTTTTCAGAGAACTAGGGAAAGAGCAGAGCTTTGCTATTCAGTGCAGTTGTGAAACAGCAGCCTTGGCATCCTGGGACCTTCTTGCCAATGCAGACTCCCACAGGCCCTTCAGGACCTTGATTGAAATGATCAACTCCTTAGGGGATTTGCATGCACACAAACGTTTGAGAAGCACTGGAGTGGCAGGTGGGTCAGAGGAGATGAGACTGCAGTCAGCCATACCAGATGGGCCTCTGTGATGACAGTCCGGGAGAGGGATGGGAAGGGCACAAACTTCAAGCCTCGGGAGGTAGAATTGACCATACTTGATGACTTCTTGCCTAGAGAGTTGAGGGAGAGAACTGGAAGAGTCTAAGATGACTTACAGTTCCCGGCTAGGGTAAGAGCACAAATTCAAGAGCCAGCTAGTGGTTTATCGTTATAATTCACCATGGCTAGCATGTATTGAGCACTTACTCTAAGGTTACGATTTGTCAATCACTTTATAGGCATCATTTCATCCAATCCCAATAACCCAACGAAGCAGATACTGTTATTATCCCCATTGTACAAATCGGGGAAATGAGATTTAGAGGGAGACACTAGTTGCCCAAAGTCATAGAGCTTGTAATTGGTGAGCTGATGCTTGAACTCAGAGCTGTCTGGCCTGAAACCTGTGCTTCTTTAGTTAGACTGAGGGAAGACGTCAGGCTGCCTTCCAAGTTCCTGACTTGAGTGACTTGGAGGTTATGTAACAGGGAATCTGGGAGGAGAGGGAGCTGTGGTTTCAGCCCTGCTGAGTTGAGGCATCTGAGGGACAGCGAAGGGAAAGCATCCTCAGACTGCTTGGTCTAGAGCCCAGGAGAAAGGTTTAAGCTAGTGCTGTAGACTTAGAAGTCTTCACTATTTAATTGATAATTGAAATCATGGGCATTGATAAGGTTACAGAGAGTGTGGTAGAGAAAGTCAATACCAGTACCATAAAGAAGGAGCTGGCAGTGCCTCCTAGGAGAAAGGACTGAGAAGGGAGAGAACCAAGAGGAAGCTGGAGTCTCCAAGAAACAGGGGTGGGGGAAGTTACAAAGAGGGCTTCATGAACTGCATCCAATGCTAAATAAAGATAGAGGAGATGAGGACTCACAGTGTCTTCGGATTTAGTCCTTCTGTTGGTAATGATCTTTGTGATCAAAGTTCATAGAGTTTCCATTGAGCAGAAACATGGTTGCCCTGGTTAAGGAATAAATGGAAGAAAGAGAGGCCAGAAGCATGGAGTTTTATGTGAAGAACAGGAAAAGGGCATTGTGAATTTAGGATAAGAGGCTGGGCACGGTGGCTCACGCCTGTAATCCCAGTACTTTGGGAGGCTGAGGTGGGTGGATTGCCTGAGCTTGGGAGTTCAAGACCAGCCTGGGCAACATGGCAAAACCCAATCTCTACTAAATGCACAAAAAATTAGCCAGGCATGGTGGCATGTGCCTGTGGTCCCAGCTACTCAGGAGGTTGAGGCAGGAGGATCACTTGAACCCAGGAGGCAGAGATTGCAGTGAGCCAAGATTGTACCACTGAATTCCAGTCTGGGTGACCAGTGAGACACTGTCTCTAAAAAAGAAAAAAAGAATTAAAGAATTTAGGATAAGAAAAGCTTGAGGGTAAGGAGAAGGTGGAGGGCCATCCAGGGAAGAGAGCTCTTGGAGACAGCAGAATGTAAAGTTGTGAGGCAGATGGTAGAAGAATTAAGTATAAAGGAGAAGAAAGGGAGCAAGCCTGGCATCACCAGATAGCTGGAGGCATCGTGAGTGTGGGAACTGTCATCTGATTGGATGACCCTCTTTGGTTTTGAAAAAAAATGAAAATTAGCTACAAAACAGGTATTAAAACTTTACCTTCAATTAAACAAGGGCTCCAGAAAGAAAGTTAGGGTACCATTGGAAAACATTACCAACTTCAAAATTGCACACAAGCAGCTGTGTGTGGGGCAGCCTTTACCCGCTGAACCCTGTCAATATGCATAGAGCAGTTCTCCTTGAGAGCAATGATGCAAGTCACAGAGGCATGGTGCCCGTTCCTGGGACAGCTTTCGCAGGGATCGCACCCACTAGTCACTTCCAAATGTCTGTCGGGGGACACTGAGTCACAAAACTGCCATTGCTGTCTTCTTACACACCCACACACATGCACACAGCATCCCTTTGAAATGAGCAGAGTGGGGCTGCATAGAGTGAGGGTGCGAGGGGGGCAATCAAATTCTAGTCTGTGTTGTTAGGATGTTACTTGGGGAAGTAACAGGAAGAGGAATAAGATTGCAGTGTGAAGATGCTCATTGGCTGGAAAGGAAATCGTCCAGGTCTGTGCTCTGGTGTAAAGAAGGAGAGACTGGAGAATTCCTGACTAACCCCAGGCAGCAGGACCAGAGGCCACAGGAGCTGCAAGATGTGGCCCCCAGGGGTCCAGGACAGCTGCTCCTAGGGCTGTGAGGAGAGTCTGCCCATGCCTGCCTGGGGCAAGTGGCCTTCCCTTGTTCCTGGCCGTCAGTCCTCTGAACCCTCTCTGGGCCATCAGACTCCTCTCCCCAGCTGCCACCCCTTTCAGATAAAGGGCAATGTGAAAATCACTTGAAATCCAGAGGAGGGGTCCAGTCCACCCAGGGCTTCCAGACAGGAAGCTGCTCCCCATCCCAGGCTGGCTGGATTACCATGGAGGAGGACGAAGAGGGCAGAACAGTTGGCAAGTGTTAGGCCTCAGGGCAGAGGTCTCTGGTTGGGGGGATTCCAGACAAAAGTCCTCTGTGGTCTGCTCAGACACTTATTAGTTATAAAGCTTTTTGGCCATCCTCTGCTGAAGAGGGAGATGGCCCCTAGGGAAGTGGCGTGTATGTGCATGCCTGTGTATGTGGCGGCGGGGGGGGCGGGGCAAAGAGGTGGCATCAAGTGGGAGGTCATTGCAGGTAATTTCTGTGGAGCAGGAGGGGTGGGATCATAGGAAGAAAGCAGTGCTGATGAACCCACTCTCCACAAAGCCCAGATAATGTTGGCTCTGACCTTCACCACAAACACCACAGTCACCGCCACTCCTGCCTCTTGCTCTTCTACTTCATTCTCATGCCTCATTTGCATCCCTGTTTGTACCCTAGCCCTCACCCCACATTCACTCACCCTATGTTCTGTGCCCCTCCTATGTCCCAGGCACTGCCATGGGCACTGGGGATACAGTAGGAGACAAAGGCTGGGCTCCCCATGGACCTCCAGCAGCTTCTCTATGCCAGAGCCACTCCTAAGACTAGGCTCCCTGAACTGACAGTGCACTTCCAAACCCAAGTACACAGAGCCAGCTCCTTAACACAGCCCACTCCCTCCCAGTCCAGCCAGTCTTGAACTATGCTCCCCCTTGAATCCTGCTCTCACTCAAATCTACTCCATCCCTGCTCCTAACCCTAATTTGTTCTAGTCTGTATAACTGTTAGCAAAACAGCTGCTATGACTGAGGCTTCTTACAGAACTGGGGCATCCTTGCAACCCCCAGGACAGTTAGAGATATGAAGGCTGTGTACTG